CTGCTGCGGTTGCTGCTGCTGTTGCTGCTGCGGCGGCGGCGGCTGTTGCTGCTGATGCTGGTGTTGCTGTTGCTGTTGCATGGACGGCGGTCCGGCGTGGTGAGCGGGATGGGTCAGCGGCGGCAACGGTCCGTGGGCGTCGTGACCGCCGTGAGCACCGTGACCGGCATGCGCCATCGTATGGGTGGCCGGCATGTTACCGTTCAGACATGCGGTCTCACCGTTGATAGGTGATCCACTCTGACGGGTGACAAATTCTGCCACCATTATTTGTCTTCTTAGTACATCTGCAAGCAAACGAAACGGAAAGACGAAATTAGTACGGTGGCGAGTAGACTTCCGTACGACTCGGTGTCGTTCAACGTGTCACGCTGATCCAACGGGATTAATGGGCGATCGTATATTATCCCGTCGGGTTCACCGTGTCGGATAGTTAGAGGGAAACAATTCGCCAGTGAATTGAGACGAGTCTATTAACGTCGGTGACGAACCGCGACACGTGCCAAACGCTTATGATGACGATGACAAAAACGACGACCAAGAGCTTGCTCGAAGGATGGGGTAAGTAACGCTTCGAACGAACAAATTAGAAACCGCGAATGAAATTCACGGTAATGTTTGGACGAAATGATTGCGCATATTTTACCTGTCCTTTTACCCGCGATGGTTTCATGATTGATCGCGTTTTCGAGAACTGCTGTATGATCAGTGACCTATTTATATTGTATACTGAAGTATTCTGTCAACTCTGCTTTCGTAAGTACTATAAATTGTCGCAGGTTCTAGACACAGGTGGCTAATGTACGTGGCAGCCCTGATCGACGCGACACCGACACGAACGCAGAACGCTAAGCAAATACGGTGAGCAGGCCTGCATTGTGAACGTATGCTTTTCTTATTTGGACAGCGAGGTCCTTCGAACTTCGAAACGGAACATTTATTAATCCAAAGTCACACGAAGTACGTTCCAGGAAAGTTATTCACGATAAATACAGTCCTTGTACGGTTCGGTCACGCGACCACCGAGTGACAGACCCATTACGAAAGAAGGTCGACCGATGCGGAATCAGGAAGAACAAGGAAAAGAGAGTCCCGTAGAGTTCGCAGCTGACCTCCCCGGCTGCAATTCTCTTTTTTTTCGCCGTCAAACGATTACGCAGCCCGCTCGGATTACAATCCGCATCGATCACCTGTCGCGTGCTTTCCTGAATTCAAATCGGAGGACTCGAGTGGTCGCGGCGGGTGAGTCAATGCGATCATTCCGCAGTCGTGACGCGACGCGAAACAATTATAACATGGGCCCATCTCTGAAATGTAATTGGAGCCGTAGTTGTTAATGCGACGATGACACATCATTATGAAAACTATGCGTCATACCTGGCGCGGGACGTCAAACAACGATAATTGGACATTCTTGGAACTATTGTTCATTCATCGGGCTGACTGCCCTTCTTACGTAGGATAGAACTGACCGAGGAAGCCATTACGACGTCAATTCTGTTACGTCAGAAACCAAAATCTCTTACGTGATACTGAAACAATGCGTCCACAGGGTCGTGAAAATGTTGTGTAAGGATTAAGATGATGGTAGATGATAGACACTCGTGTACTCCGCGCAACTGTTCCTTAAGTCCTGCAGAATTCTTGGTCAATCCCGTTCGTCTAGTGGCTATCCGAGTGTCTGAAATGTCTAGTGGACGAGGCGAGCCTGATCTATGCGACAGGCAACGCGGAATAAAAGTGACAATCCCAGACATGGCGACAGGAGATCATAGCCGAGAGGATGAGCGTCGCGAGCTTTCGTAACCGTTATACCTGAGAGTGGCACCGATGGTCAAAGGTGAAGCATTCCGAGGGATCGAAAAGACGTGCCTGCACTGCCAACAATACTGGCTCGAAACGACAGCAAGAGAAGTCACAAAATAGCCTTGGGTAAGGTCGCGCTCCTCAAGGCCGAGGGTGTCAGCGAACCCAGCGGGCGTTGCCAGTATGAAGCGTTAGCAGCCATTATGAGGCGCATTCACACTTTAGACACCGAAAATTCGTGATCATTGGTCCAAGCAAAAGACTATTCAACCGCTTTTATCCTATCATGCTGACTTTCGCCGATTTCCATATTTATGAACCGATATATCTACAGCTCGGCAATTAATTTCTAGCATTTACCATTAATTGTAGCAATGCGCGCGTTGCATCCAACTTTTACGTAGATAACATTTATCTCATTTTTTCTTGCTTCGCCTTTTAATGTGCAGTCACGTAATAAATTACATGCAGATTTGTTAGAAAAAAATGAAGATAAATATGCGTTGCGATAATATTACGCTTTCTGGAGGAATAAGGAAAACACGCGCTGAAAGTGACACATTGTCGCGCGAAGATAAATCAGCGAGATATCGGTGGCGTAAAAATGATGGAGTTGAACGCGCGAGCACGGTTCCGGGCACGCGGTGTAATTATGTAAGCGCTCGTGCGAGCATTTCCGCAAATCGGTTGCGCGCTCGTTACGTGTTAATTGGCAGTGATAATTGTCGGGATAGATAATGCTCCGTTTTAGCAATATTGTTACGATTTTCAAACGAGATAAAACAGAGCGGAGAAGAGGAAGAATGGAAGAAGAATCGGTACACGTATCTGTTTCTAGAATGGAGTCGATTCATTTCAAGATCACGACCCAATCTCCGCGATCGGATCAGTTGATTCGCCGGTTAATTGGGAAATCATTTGTAGGCGCGTTCGTTGAAAGGAAGAAAAAAAGCGAGAACGTGTGAACGTTAATCCACGGCGAAGGGGAGAAGCAGAAGCGAAGGAGGGAGGCGTGGTTACATAAGGGAGCACGTGCGACTCCGGAAAACGTGACACGTGCTGCATCGTTGCTATCTGCCGTTCACGTACGGCGTCATGAAAATATTTGTTTATTTCAGCCTTCGGCATCTGTAACACGGAAATGTCGGGACGGCTGCGCACGTCGCTGAGAAACTCGACGAAACACGTTTTTCTTCCCTTCTAACGATAATGTGTCGGTTATAGGCAGATGTAACGTGAAAATATAAATGTTAAATGATTTTCCTATCGACCGAAATTAGGTACTCAATGGATAACGGGTATATCAAATCGCTGGAAAATAAAATAGAAAGATAATGGTCTCGTGAGCCCTCTGGTGGCAAGAACAGAAACTATGTTGCACTAAAGAATATCTATCCTTATAATACTCTTCTTAAATATCGATTTTGGATGTTTTTAATTTCTTTTATAATTCCGCAAATGTTTTGTGCGAAGAAAAACAATACTTTATACAATAAATTATTGAAATAACGCCATTACGTCTATAAAGAAAATTTGAATATTTCAGTAATACCGCCAATTAGATCGAGATTCGATAGTGAAGTTCGAGAATCGCAAGCGCGGTTCGAGAATCGAAGGCGACGCTAGAAGTTTCGAAGCATCTGCAGGAGTGATGTTGCTGCCGCTTAAAGTGTGAAGAAAGTGTGAAAAAGTGGTTTATTACGAGAAAATTCGTTGGAAATGTCGTCATTAGGAATCAGCGGAACGCGATCGTATAAAATTCGATCGACTTAGTATATATTTAGTGCGTGATGTTGCTGGATTCGAAAACCGTCCCCGGCGTCCCTCGCCGAGCGCCTATAAATAGGTAGATATTGCATGTTTTTCCCAATTATTCATGCTTCCTGTTCGTATTCGTTGAATTTACTTAAAGAAGGCGTATGTATACTTTCAAAATTTGTCAACGTGCCACGACTGTCCGTTACACGCGAGCCTCACGCTCGCGAAAAAATTGGGTAATTCGAATAACGGTCGCGCGATATACGATCCCGAGAAATTCTATTTGATACTCGGAAATCCTATCTTACTGCGCTTTAAAAACTTCGCACGGCCGATCCGTCGCGTTCTGACCGGAATATTCGCAAAACTAAAAAGAACGTCGAAAAATGACCGTCGCCGCCTACACTCGCAACAACAATCTATCTATACATTACACTTCTCTGTTCATTGATTTATTTCAAATTGAATTTCGAGTTCCGTTGCGTGTACGTAACGAGCGATACAAATTGAGCAACACACAAGGGTATCGAACCTGAACTACGCGAGATGGTTAGAGCTCGCGCGGCCGTTAGAGAAAGAGAGAAAGAAGTAGAAAGATCGAGCTCGTGAATTAACCGTTGAAGCACGCGGGCCAAACGGTTACGCAAGAGGTTCGAATGCACTGTGCCGCGCATGCGTCGCAACCGTCCACGTGCTGTACGCGCCTGTTAGAAGCGAATGTCAGGCCGTTTATATCGCGGAAGCCATTCCGGTAAATGTATCGACGTACGTGAATCTCTTCTAATCACGTAGTCCCTGCGAGCCAGCCAGCTAGTCGGCAACGTGTCGTCGCGGCCTCGCGGCTGGCTCTGCGCACGGTTTTATGATCGGCCGAGGCTGCCGCGTGTCCTTCCACGCTATCGATTATGTATCTTGCACCTTAATTTATCCCCGGTGAGACCGTGCGTCACCGTCCAGTCGGAAACAGTTCCGTTCATCGTTTCTGCGAAACGCAATCAGTATCGGTGATATTCCGCTGGGAATTCGTGTAAACGTAGCCGGTCGCGTTGGGATCCCGTGATCGCGCACGACCTTTCGTCGTCTGACGCTAGAGGGCTCTGCGCATTGAACCGGAAACGCGAAATTGTGTGTCGAATTTCCGGGTACTTTTTATGCTCGCCAAAATGGAATATATATTTCCAAAAGATATAATTTTAACCCAGTCATACGACTGGGACATTTTGACTGACAATCTTTACTGTATACCGTCTTATTTATTAATTGAACGTCGAAATTGAAGAATCTTCGACAACGCGTTCTCGCGTCTCCGGATAGATGGCGAAACACTGTTACCGATTCTGCGAATCGTATCTTCGTTGCGAGAACACTGCATGCCAAAATGGAAACAGAGGAACGCGGTTCCGATCTTGGCTAATAGGCGCCTGATTCATTGCGATGCCGCGAGGTGTACGATTGGGACCCGAGTCCCGCTCTCGAAATTGAGCAATCACTTGGAATTTCAGTCGCGGATTACGTACCGCGGGGTTCGCGTGACTCATGTCGCGGCTGTGCACCGGGGTTCTATCGATCCGACGATTTTTCCCAGAGCAGAGAACACGCCGCCCACATGAAATATCTGTCGCGGTGAAATCTCCGCGATTGCTCGCGTCGACCGCCGTGGCACGTGATGCGAAAAGCAATTTAAATATCGGCTAACGGCTTCATTCGAATCTCCGAACGCCCAACATCTCGCATACCGAGGCTGCGCGGTCTACGGCTCGGCGCGCGTTAATTATCTTGTAATATCGGCACCCGTATCGCTCGTTACTCCGTTTTTCACTGAATTAGAGGATTAATCTCTCTCGCCTCCGTATCGCGAGCAATCAACCGACCCTTTCCCCGCCGGCGTTCGGAGGAATGAAATCAACCGGCATGTTACCCGTTGAGTCATATTTAGCCGTTGCATGTTTCACCGCGCGTCCGTGTGTGCGTGAGCCGGGGCGGCGGTGTACGCGAGTAGTAACACGCGTACACGCGGGGATCGTACCAGGAACACAGGGATGGAAGAGGTTGTCGGCCCTGTTCCCGTGAAACACGAAATTTATCAGGAGCAGCAACGCGGCGCAGGCACGCCGGAAAGGCTTTATGGTCCATCGTAAACGCCAGCAACGATTCGTTAGCGGGTAATAGACGTCGGCCGGTTTCGCGGCAGAAAATTATCGAGCGAATAATTTTGCAACCTTAACGGGTGCCACCGTTTCCTCGAACACGGTCGATAAGAACGGGCACACCGAGAAACGGTAATTATAAACGCGGGCAAACGTGGCGAAACCCGCGAGTAGTTGTTTTCTATTGCGCAAACCTCCGGCCATACGCGA